TTTTTTGGGAGAAAATTTATAGTTATCCTATTTATTTAGTAATTAATAATTAGTTTACATGTAACTGACATGATATTTCCCGTGTTCCCATTTCCAATCCTAAATTCCCAAAAAAGGAAACAATAAAATAATCCTGCCCTAGTTAAGAGCAAATTGGGAGCATTATTGTTAAACTTTTTGAGTTGACTCTATAAATTTATTATTTTTATATTTATAATTTATAAAATTATATTAATTTACTTATAAATTTGTACTAGATAAAAATTTAATTAAACTCATGAGTTAATTATCTAAATTTATTATTTTTATACTTTTGACATACAAAATTGTGTTAATTTACTTATAAACTTGAATTAAATATAAACTAAGTTAAACTTATAAAAAAATTTTAATTTTTTATTGAGTTGAGCGATAGGACTCGTTCAAAGAAAAATAAAACTCAAAAAATAAAAATTAATATTAATAAAAAACAAAAAAATATAAAAAATAAATTGTCATATTTTAAAATTTGTGTATTGAATATGACAATATAATAAGATAGGTAAATTTATTTTCAATTATTTATATTTTATATTTTAATGTTAATTATTTAATACTATACTTTTAATAAACTTTTAATTCCTCAGTTTAAAAATATAAGATATTTTTAACTGAATCTCACCCAAATAAAGTAGTTATCTATTTTAAACTAATCTTATCTTTTTATATTTATCCCTATTAAACACTCTATAATAAATATAAAATTATTCATTAATACAATTATTTAAAAAAATAAACAATAATTATACTTTAAAATAAATATTTTAATATTTTTAAACATTTAATTTTTTAAAAAATATTTTATATTTTTAAACGAGTACAAATTGATATCAATCATTAATGCTTTACTTAAATTAGCAAGTTTGACAACTTTGGTGGCAGAACTGTGAGATGGACGCCGTACTCGAAATTACAAAATTGCCCCTCAGTTGGCCATACTGATAATGATCCGTACTGCATCTGATCTGGCAGTCCCTGGTTGGATATGTCCTGCTTTATTCTTGGCACGAAGTGAGACTCACATGCGACATGACACATTCTTTTTTTTTTTTTTTGCTAAAGAAAATTGGAAGTTCCACATTCATTATTAAATATACTTTTAACGGAATCATATTTTTGAATAATTTAATTAATTATTTTTAAAATTACATAATTTTTTATATTTATATTTATTTAATAGGATATTTTAATTAAAAAATTTTTAATTACAACTTTTGTCAGAATAATTTTTTAAAAAAATTATTAATTATATTTTAAAAGATTCAAAATATTTATATTTTTAAAAATAATATTTAAAAATGTATCATAATATTGAACTGAATGAGTAAACTATTGGCCCCAAAAAATAATAATTAAAGTACATTTTTTTCCTACAAAATTACACTTGTAATATAAGACTAGAACTCAAAACCACCAATTAAGTTAGCATAATTCATTATTAATTGAGCTATGTACTTTTTGGTTAAAATACATGTTTGTTAAATCATGAATGAATTGTACATAATTTTATTGTTTAAATTTAAAAAGCTTAAATGATAATTATTTTTTTAAACTATACGTCGATAAGCAACTAAGGTTCTAAATTTATTTTTTGTGCAATGATCTTTTTTAATTTTTAAGAATGATATAATATAACCCTTATTATTAATAAAAATTAACTTTGTGAGTTAGTTAACCATAAAATGATAGAAGAGTACCAAGAAAAATTACAAAAATAAGATCCAAAAGTTACAAACAATGATTCAAAAAGTTTCAAAAATAGATTAAAATAATTTTTTTAGTTTTTTTCTGTAATTTTGAGGTCATTTTTTATTAATTAACAGTTAAAATTAATTTTTATTAATAGTAAGATATTATTCTTAAAAGCTAAGAAAAATAACACACCAAAAAAGTTTAAAATTTCAGAACCTTAGGTTCAAATTGCTATTTCATACAATTAAAAACGAATCTCATAATTTTTTTCAAAGAATAACCCTTCTTATCACTCATTGACTGTGCTGACTTTTTAAAAGCAACGGCCACATTAAATTAAATAAATACAAATGCCATCTTGGCAAGTCACTTCGCACTTCGCATTTCGCATTTCGCATTTCGCATTTCGTCCATGTGAATGCGTTTTATGAGGGGGGTGTGTGCGTATTTGGTAATCACCTTTATACGGTATTTATATTTTTTGAATCAGTTAGCATAAGTTATTTTATGAATTATATAGAGTATTTAATATTATTTTACCTAAAATGTTTCTAATAATTAATAATTGATATTAAATTTTAAAATGGTTAATTGTAACTAAGGATGCCTAAATTTAACAAGAAAACAACATTTTCAAAATACAGAGAAATATAAATAATTTTTCTTGATAAATATGAATTGGTAAAAAGTGTTTTATAATATATATGAAAGCAAATTAGTACAAGAATTTGACATATAATTCTACTTATCCTGCCCACCTTTTTTAAGTGGCTGTGCAAGTAAAATTATTAATTTTGGCCTACATATGAAAAAATAAAATATTTTTTCTAGAAGATTGCTTTGAATCGTCTCAAATTCAGCCTCGTGCGTACAATTGGGAATACTTTTCAGCAATGTAACTATCCTGTAACTTCCATGACTCTTCAATCTATATTTTACGTGACTGTGAAGAAGTTAAAGAGGTTTGAAAAAAATTAATTAATTCTACTAAATTGACACCTTTTTTCTCGATGTGCAGGATTGGATAATCTGGAATGCAAAGGCTGAAACAAGTAGCTTAAAAACAAGAAAAATGCTCTGACAGAGACTTTTTGCACAAGCTTGCTGGAATATTTAGAAAAATAAATGTAAGAAGTTATATTCGGAAGAAGATATCATGGATAACAATATTGCCTTCTCCAACATCCAACAAATAAAAAATGATTTGAAGTTTTTATCCAAAACCTTCTGGTTGAACAAAAGAGATACGACTAGTGATGTTAAATGGCACCCACCTAAACACGGATGGGTTAGACTTGACATTCACGACTCAGTTAACATCAATAGCTACAACTTGTGGAAGCATTATCAGAGATGACAAGTAGAACTGGATTAAAAGATTTTTCAAATACCTCGAATATCAACCTAGCATATCAGCTAAACTCAAGGGGATTCTTCAAAGGACTCAACCTCTACTGGAATATGAAATTACCCAAAGTCAATGTCCATATTGATTCGATGAAAGTGCTGTCACTTATTAGCAACACGTACTTTAGAAGTCATCATTTATTTAGCATTATCAAGAAAATCAAATAACTCATTATAAGAGATTGGATTGTCACATTTGATCATGTCTAAAGGTAAGTAAATAGATGTACAGATCTTTTAACCCACCGATCTACATGTGATACTTTTAATGTTATAATTTTTCATGTTCCCCTAATAGACTATACAAACCTTATAGTTTTAGATATGATTAGATTATAGTCTCTTTGTACGATTTTACCGGGGCCTTATAATAGAAAAAATATCAATTTTAAAAAATTGAATATATGATTTTCTCTTAATAAAGTTGAGGTTTCCAATTGTAATATATAGAAAAAGAAAAAATGAGAATTTATGTGTGGGTTATCTTAAAAATAGATATTTTGAAATTTCAAAAAATATTATTAAATAATCTAACAATGAGATTTTGAAGACATTATGATTCTAATATTTAATAATTATACTAAAATGTTTTGTTTTAATCAAATTTTAAAATATTTGTATTAAATTTCAAAATAACAATGCAAAATTGTGTTTGGGTTTCATTTTGATAAAAGTTCGTATGTCAAAATTATATTTAATTATAATACATTTTATTTGTTAAAAGTTTATGTTTAGATAATTTTATTTTAAGAAGTAAGTTTGATAAACTTAAAATTATTTGAATAATATGAGAATTAATTGAAATCAACTCTAACTCACATTTCAAGAGTTAAAGTTATCCAACATTATACTCTTCCAATCCTAGTTATATGTTATTTCTAACATGTATATCTAAAATTAAGAAAAACTTTAAACTCTATTCTCTATATTAAAATTTAATAAATTTTCACCTATAGCCCCTAATATGAACGAAAGAAGCATTCTTAATAATTTTTTTTAGTATTTAATAAAAGTATAAAAGTAACAATGAACATAAAAAATAATTAAGTATTTTATGAATAAAATTAAAATTAATCTTCTTTACTTTATAAATAGGATGAGAAAAGTATTTTAGTAAATAGACTGCCATTAGATCTCAAGTGAACTTTCAAATGAGCAATAATAAATATCCAAACAACATTTATATTTGGATGGGCATGCTCAAAATACAGAAAACAAGGGTATATCTTAACACATTTTTAAAATTTGTAGGTCTTTTAATGTAACTCTTTTCTTGAATAAATCATAACAGGAGTTCTCAATTAAAAAAATATACTTAATTGTTATAAAAAATATATACCCAGTCCATTTCAAAATATAATTCTTTTTAACCTTCAACACACAAATTTAAAAATAGAATTAATATAATAAAATATTATTCGCACAATAAAATTTGCCTCAAATTTACTTGATTTGAGATATATTATAATATAATATAAAATATCAACAACCACATAACTCATTTGATAAGGGTTGTATTAATTTAATTAATGATTTTAAATTTAAATTCTCAACGTTTTGTAAAGCTTGCAACGTGGCCGTATTCAACTGAACTCACAAGCAATGGGTAATTATACAAAAAATAATATAACATAAAATATAAATTTTTTTGATTTATATTATAAGGGAGGATAAAGTTAGGCATTTACTTTGAGTTTTAAAAGGTCATTGGGACTATAAGTAACTGACTAAAATTTACTTAAAATATAATTAACCCAGAAACAAAAACAGCTTTAACGTGGGGGCATTTTCGTGAACCAACTTTTTAATGTATAAGATAAAATTAGAGGCTATTGCTGCCGCAAATGCAATTGCAGGCTCGCTTCCCAAAGCTGCTTGTCTGTATTGGTTCCTGTCACAAACAAAAACAGTACCACTGCTTTCTTCGTTCCTCTTCTTCTCTTTCCTCTCTTCTGCTATACCATCCTTAAACTGCCTCCTCTTTCTGCGTTTTCATTTCTGCAGATTCAACTATAACCAGTCTCTGTTTCACCTTCAAAATATCTCAAACAAAGTCGAATACCCAACTTTAGGTGAAGCTTTCTTTTAGACCCAAAAGAAAGTAACTTTGCTTACCAGAACTCGAGGCATTACATTACCCCACATTTGCAGAATGAACCAAATAAGCCATCGCTTTGGCTTGTTAGCAAGGCAAACAAAAAGAAACGAGTTTTGTTATTCTTCTTCTTCCTAGACTGCTTGGTTCTGTTCTGCAAAATCGGTTGATCTAAGGAAAGAGAGGTCGACGCAGAATGGGTTGCTGCCATTCCAGTATCGAGAGAGAAGAGACGGTGTCGCGTTGTAAGGCGAGGAAGCGATATATGAAGCAGTTTGTTCAAGCAAGGCATGCTTTTTCTGCTTCGCATGTTATGTATATACGCTCTCTTCGTACTACAGGATCTGCTCTGCTTCAGTTCGCCAATGCAGAGACGGCCGTTCACCACCAACATCACCACCACAACCTCCATCTCCAACACCATCTTCCGCCGGAGCCGGAGCCGATCCGGCCGTTGCCGCCGCAGCGAACTCCGGGGCCGATGCCGACTCCGTTACCCCCGATGAGTCCGAGTTCAGACACGTGGACGTCAATGACGGCCTCCCCTGCTCTACCGCCACCACCTCCTCCCCCACCGCCGCCTCCTCCGGTGTCGTCTTCCACTTGGGATTTCTGGGACCCATTCGTGCCACCACCTCTGGCCTCGTCGAGGTCATTGACCGAGGAATGGGAAGCCACGACGACCACGGGGTCGGAAATTGTCGCGATGACGACGGGGGCGACAAGCGTGACGACGGTGCCGCCGTCTATGGTGAGTGGGTTCTCCAAGGAAGCACCGAGCAGCGACCTTGCGATGGTAGTGTCAAGGAACACCAAAGATCTCGTTGAGATTATAAAAGAACTTGACGATTACTTCCTCAAAGCTGCTGAAGCTGGTGGCCAAGTCTCATTACTCTTAGAAGTTCCAACCTCTGGTTTTTCTAATCAAAGTAAAGAAAGTAAGCTTCAGGAATTACCAAGATTTGCTTCACAATGCAGTTCTGTTTTCCATTGACACTAATGCACATGAACACATAAATTATTGGAATTTGATTTAAATGTTAAGAAAGGTTCGAATTTGCGTGTTTGCAGGTAAAGTTTACAACTATGGGTGGGGTTTGAGTCCATCGTTGTGGGCATGGGGTTCGAATTCGAATACAAAAGCGAATGGATTTGGAAAGTATAGTCATGAAATGTCGGTTGGTAATTTTGTGGCTAAAGATGTTGGAAATGGTAGTCACTGTTCTGCAGTGGAGAGGCTATATGCATGGGAAAAGAGATTGTACCAAGAGGTCAAGGTATAAGCTTTCTTTTTTGCAGCTTCTTTAGAATATTATTATAAGACAAAAAGAAAAGGGAAAAAAGAGTGAAAGCAAATGATTTCTCTTTTCTGGGCATAAATTTGATGTGGGTCATGCTTGATTCGTCCTGAAGGTGTTTTATATAAAACTTCTATGATACTGGTGAATGAATGGTCTGTAGTGTATATACTTAGAGTTATGTATTGTACTTCTGTTTGGATGGTTTTAGAATGCTGAGACCATAAAGATGGAGCATGAGAAGAAGGTATCGGTGCTAAGGAGGTTGGAGATCAAGAAGGCAGACTATGTGAAGACAGAGAAGACAAAGAAAGAAGTGGAGAAATTGGAGTCGCAGATGATGGTTGCCTCTCGGGCCATTGAGAGTACATCAGCTGAGATTATCAAGTTAAGAGAGACAGAGCTGTACCCACAACTTCTTGAGCTTGTCAAAGCGTAAGTCTTCTCTCTCTCTCTCTCTCTCTCTCTCTCTCGATTCCATCATTTGGTATATGAGAAACCTGGGATATTATCATCTCTCACCAAGACTAATATGAACCTCTGTTATGTGGGACTATTATTATCAACGGCGGTGTTATGGGTATTTTGGGAATGGCCTTAGCATATTTATTTAATGCGATTGTATATACTAGAACTTGAGATCCCAAAATAAGCTGATTCTCTTATCTTTCTGTGTATTGCATCTTTGGGGCCATTCCCATTTTACCTCGTTCCTAGGTTGGGATCATCTAGTCCTTCAAAATTTGAGTTGTAACCATATAACAAAGTGTAGATATCAACGTATTAAATGGCCTAAAACTTGAGGGACTGACTTGTATTGAGTTAAATATTAGGAATTGAGTTAAGGGTTAACATTCCAAGGTAATATTGGAAATTTAACCCTTCAATTTCATGATATTCTATTAAGAGGAAATAAGATTGTGAATCACACAGATTATCTTTTTTTTTTTTGGGTAAAATTAAATTATCACCTCAGGCTCAGATAATTAATGTTACATCATTCCAAAAATTGAGACTGAAACCTAAAACGTACAATAATATCTTCAATACAAAAGCACTTGAAAAATTTAATGCAGTATGCTATCTCCATCATCCTCACTGTGACCTTCATCAGTGACTCCACCTAACACCTTTCAAACTCCCAATCAAGCCCTACAACATTATTAGTTTACTCTTCAAAGGAAAAGGGTAAGTTATTGAACTCAAATTCTTGTATCTTGTTTAGGTTGAGAGGAAGTGAACAATGAGTATTTACAGTAGTGCTATTAGCTTTTTTTTTTTTTTAAAATAAAACTAGATAACAAATTTCACTATGTATTAGCAATTGTATTAGCAATTGATGTTTAAGGCAGCAGGGGTTGCATCAGTTTAGGAGTAATTGGTGATACTGGGTGATTTTAAACTTTGCATCAGTTGAGAAAATGAACGTTGCTTTTGACTTTTTGGATTGAGACAATGCTGACCACATTAACTGTGACAGTATTATATGGAAATCCAGGTCAATATTCCCAGTTGAACCGTTAAACTAGTGTCTCAACTGGTTTAATAAAATACTCTATTTATGACTGGTTTGATTATGATTCAATTACAATTTTGATCATTGACCCTTGAGCTAGTCCCTTGACTGGTTCAATAACTGGTCCGGTTTTTAGTACCCATGTATGATGAAATGGGTGTCAATAGTTTCAGTTCCCATGTTTCTTCTTCTTTCCAACTGAAGATTCTTCTTCAAAATTCTCTCTTTGGTGGGTTTGTATCAATCAATTAGAAGTTATGGTCCCCTAAATGGGAGAACTTATCATGGGCAAAGTTTGTGTTACCTTTTCTTTTGTAGTCATTGCTTTAACAACTCCATTCTTCAATTTCTTTGGTTAAACAATGTCTGGTTCTGATTCATTAATGTTGTAGAAAACGAAGATTAAACTCAATGTTGTCTCATTCATGTTTTGACAGATTGATGTGCATGTGGAGAAACATGTATGAGTGCCATCAAGTACAAAAGCACATCGTTCAGCAGCTGGAATACCTCAATACCATCCCATCAAAGCAACCAACAAGTGAAATTCATAGGCAAGCAACTCTCCAGCTTGAGCTTGAAGTTCAACAATGGCACCAATCCTTTTGTAACCTTTTCAAGGCTCATAGAGATTATATTCAGTCCCTCACAGGTTGGCTAAGGCTCAGCCTTTTCCAGTTCAGCCGTAGCCCGCTGAGCCAAACTGCTGAGGACTCCAAGATATTCTCTCTATGTGAAGAATGGCACCTTGCTGTGGATCGCATCCCAGATAAGGTGGCATCTGAAGGGATCAAGAGCTTACTAACAGTTATTCATGCCATTGTAGTTCAACAATCAGAGGAACATAAACAGAAGAAGAAATCAGATTCTGCATTTAAAGAGCTTGAGAAGAAAGTGGTGCAGCTTCGGTTGTTAGAGGGCAAATATGGCCCATATTCCATGCCCGAATCGATGCGAAACAAGGATCCTGTCACGGAGAAAAGGGCAAAGGTCGAGAGTTTGAAAGGAAAAGCAGAGGAAGAAAAGAACAAGCATGAGAAGTCAACCAGTGTGACTAGGGCAATGACTCTGAACAACTTGCAGATGGGCTTCCCACACGTGTTTCAGGCGATAGTGGGGTTTTCAAGTGTATGTACCGAGGTTTTCGAATCAGTATACAACAAAGCTAAAATCACTCAACAAGAGCATGATGTGAAGAGAATATTACCTTAGAAGAAATGGTCTGGTTGTGTACAGATAATCATCATGCTTTGGTATAGTAAAAATATGAGCTTTAAGATTGTGTTTACACCCCGCCAGTGAGATCTAGTTCACTCATTTTTTTTATCTTTTTTTTTTTTTTGGTTGGTAGGACTCAGTTTGCTGTAAGCAGAGAAACTAGAAAATTATGATGTCAGATTGATTGTGATTTCTTTGATACTCCTGACCGCTCTGTATTTCTGCCTATAGCCTTCCAAATTTTCAGGAGATCAATCCTGTGAAATTTCATAAAACGGACAATGTGTGAACCTGCAGAGGTTCTGGACTTCATCACAAAGTTTGTATATTTAATGGATGGTTTCTTGACACCAAGACTGGTCTTTCAGAAGGCATATTGTAATTTACTTAATACATAATTAGTTTCATGTTAAAAACTAATAAATCCTTATATATAACCAGAAACAAAAACGATTATTAGATGAATCTCTTTTAAATAAAATAAATAATTTTCGTTTATTTTCATCTAGATTTAAATCTTTGAAATTTAAATTCATAAACTTGATTCAAAATGTTATGAACTAAACCAAGCACTAATTCATTTTACATTGTCAATTTATTTTATTTTATTATAAAAATATAGAGATTTGAATTTTAAAATTTGAATTTGGATGAAATTTCACAAATACGATAAGATATTAAATATTAATGGGAGAATATCATATAAGGCCTCTCCAAGGAACATAATCTCTCTTTATAATATTCCTTTGTAAATTCAAAGATTTCAATTGTAATTATTTTCGAAGGTAGAGAGATGGAAATACCTTTAGTGAGTATAATATATTTACTCAAAAGGAAATTAACAACAAAATATCTGTAAATAATAAAAATTTACAAATAAAATTATTTTATGTGGGTTTACACTTGTAGTTGAAAAAATTTACTAGCCAATCAAATAAAATTAATGATAGAAAATCTATAAATAATAAAAAAAGTCCAATTATTTACAAACAGAAGTTCATTTACTTACAACAATTCATATAAATTTACACTTGTACTTGAGAAAATTAACAATAGAAAATCGATAAATAACAAGTCCAATTGTTTACAATAACAAGTTTCACAAGAGTTTATGTGGATTTAAAAGTGTACTTGAGAAAATTTACAAGTTAATCAAATAGAATTAACAACAAAAAGTCCATAAATAATAAGAAAAGTGCAATTATTTACAAAAGTTCATTTATTACAAGAGTTCATGTTGGTTTCACTTATACTTGAAAAAATTTACAAGTTAATTAAATGAATCTAACAATAGAATGTTCATAAAACAACAAGAAAAATCTAATTATTTATAACAAAAAGTCCAATTAATTATAACATCATTTCTTCATCAATAATCATCGATTACTATAATTTCTAACTATTCAAAATTCTCTAAATTTGTCATTCCTCCAAACTCTTCACAACTAAACCATTTTTCATTCTTCAGCTTACTAGACCTCCATGGGTCTAATACCTCCATGAAATAACTATGTTATCAATAATCATTATTTTTCCCACTTAGGGTTTGTATAGAAACTATAACCCTTTCTTAATTTATCATATAAACCTTAATCATTTTATCCTGAAATAACTCCTTTAACACATATTCAATCGGCCAAAGTGTTCCCCAATTTGTATCCATCACAAAATCAAAGAGAACGTAAGGTGAAATCTTAACTAGAGAGGAAGATAAAACAAGATTGGAGGTACCTTGGTGATTACAAGCTCCAATCCACCTCCAATGGTTGAATCAATTGTGTCTTAACAGAGCCTCTTCCTCTCTCGAGTTTTCTCTTTCCTTCTCTTTTTTTCCGAGTTGTTATCATGATTAGAATATATCAAATTTTTGACCATTCGTTGTAGGATGTGCCATGCATCACATGAATGACATATTAGGCTGCAACGTGGCCTAAAACACTCCCTATTGGGTCTGTGTTAGCCTCCTTCCAATTGGGTCCATGTGGCCCAAAAGACTTACTATCCCAAATCTAAAGCCACAATGCATGGTACAACAAGGATAGGCCACGAAGCAAGTGTGCTGTGCCATGATAGATCACTAAGTCATTGTTGCGATGGATCCTTAGTTGGTTGTGATGGATGTGTTTGAATGTGTGAAAATAACTTTTTGGCCCCTTTTTCAAATTGTTTTCAAATCTTATTGGTTTCATATGCTTCTGAATGCTTTTAAACTCTAATATTTGATGATTCAGTGTCTTGATTGATTCTTAAAATGATATATATATATATATATATATATAATTAACTTGGGGTCTCAATTTTCAACGATTTTATATATTATGAACCTATTTTTGAACTTTTCTATCATAATAGTTTTCTATGCATTAGTTAAATTCTTTCTATTATGATAGAGTTTATTAATCTTGTTTAATGATATATTCTATCATAGTATAATCCTTTTTACCATGACAAGGGTTATTAAATAATTATATATATATATATATATATAAAAGTTAAATTCTATTAACCATAGTATACTTTCAAATAAAGTCTTTTTCTTTTTCTATTGTGGTTAGCTCCTTTCAACTATAGTTGAGTCCTTTTTATCATAGTAAAATAATAACATGATTGGCTATCTTCTAAATACCATGATAGACTTGGTTATTGTGGTAAAGTATGTAGCAAAATTTGGAGACATTACAAAATGCATATACTTATATTTCAGGGTTAAGGTGCATTTTTATCCTTAAATTTTTTTTTTGAGGAGCACTAGGCACTTTATATTGATAAATGAGGCAATTTTACCACTGAACTATTTTTTCGAGGAGCAAAAAATCCCTTTTGTTAGATAATCATTAACTTTGCCATTTTCTGTTGATGTGACATGTATGTAGGGCCCACACACAATAACAAGTAAGACTTTGATCATGTCTTTTAGTATTAATTTACCCATGAACTCTTTTTTCAATAACGCTTGGCACCCTAAAATATTTTTTTTTGGAGTGTTGGGTACTTTAAAATATTCCCAAAATAAAATTTAATAAATATTATTAAAATATTAAATATTATTACTATTTATAAATATTCATCCACAATTTATAAATTATGTTTTAAATATTAATAGCTCAAATTAGTTTTTCATAAATTTATAGATGACTTGTAATATTTTCTATATCGATCATATTTTTAATATTGATTGAGTTCTTTAAATTTTTTAGGTTTTTCTCTATAATTTTTTTAATTAACTAATAATTTTCCTCCAAAATATTACACCTCTAAATTTAATATTTTTGATATTCTGCAATCTTGTATTAAAAATGAAGGGAATGAACCTTCAAATTAATGAAGGAATTTTCCCCCCATCTTTCCATCATTCTCTTGTTAAGTAACTTTTTTGATAGCACATTATGGGATAGATGATATTTTCTAAATAAGCATTTTTGTTGGTATATTGTTAGTCCTGATCTATCATGTTTCTGATTTTACCCTTAATATTATAGCGTACAAAGAGTATTAAACTTGAGTAATGCAATATTTTGGAGGAAGATCGTTAGTTGACCAAAAAAATTTTAAAGAATGACTTAAAAATTTAAGAAACTTAACCAATATTAAAAATATGGGTAAGTTTTGACCAAAAAGAAAGCTGTAATGATTTGGGCATTGTTTTGAAGAGAAACTTGAAGATCTATATACAAAAAATAATAAGTCATCTATAAATTTGTGAAAAAACTATTTTGAGCCGTTAATATTTAAAAAATAATTTATAAATTTTTTTATGAATATTTACAAATATTAATATTCAAATTATTAAATATTAAAATGTTTCATATTTTTGCAATATTTATTAAATTTTATTTTAATAAGACTTTGAGGTATCTGACATTCCTAGAAAAAGGCTTTAGAGTGCCAAACGCTCCTGAAAAAGAATTCAGGGGCAAATTAGTGTCAAAAAGGATATGGTCAAAATCTTATATGTCAATGTGTATAGGCCCTACGCATATTCACGTTAGTAGAAAATGAAAAAAATTAATAGCTGACTAATAGAAGGGGTTTTTTGCTCCCTAGAAAAATAGTTTAGGTAGGAAATTACCCTACTTATCAATATAGTGTGGCTAGCACGTAATATCTCACTCAACTAACCGCAATTAACTAATAAAACTCATAGTAATCAAAAGATTAACTCATAAAGGCGATTACCAAGTTTTAGTTTAAAATTAAGGGATCTCAAATTTTCTTAATCAAAATAAATTTAAATCAATCATAATCTCGTATATTAGAGTAAAAATAAGTTATGAAACCATAAGATATCTTAGAGGAGTGAAAAAGAGTGAAAATAATTGAAAAACATGTTTGTTGTGAGATAGGGCAATACGTCGTGGCGTGTTGCTCTTCGTGCCATGCACCGGGGCTCAGGCACCATGCGTTGTGGCGTATTGCATGCAAATGACATCAGATTTGACAGTAAAATCAGGAAACTTCCGACGTATCCCAATTCTTCGTCTGATGTCCGAATGACTTGATCTAGGTGTCTACGAAAAGCTCTTTTCATAAACTAGCTAATGGTTTCACTTTCAAAACAAGTTACACTAGAAAGTTGGACATCCAAACACATTTTTACCACTTTTTACAACTTTCATACAAAAAGTGTCCAAAACCCACAACAAGTGCCAATAGATATTCCTAACACCCAGACCACACTTATTGAACCTAAGACCATTAGTAAAACATGTCACACACACTTAAATACTAGTATAGTATGAAATCACTCCTTAACCATTTTTTATACCAAAAACAGAAGGGGGAGGTAATTTTCAATGCATTGCATCCAAATCAATCAAAACATGTTCAAAACATCATTTTTACACTTGCACTAGTATTTTAGCCCTATCAACATATATATATATATATATATATCATACACAAATACTTAAGGCCCAAAACACAACTTAGATATTTGCAATAATAAAATAGTGCAAGTGCAATGATATGCAACCTGGAATTGATAATCATATTCTATCAAATAAAACAAATAGATACAAGAGGCATACTAAATGAATACACAAATTCATAGGCCTCAGTAGCTTTGTCTCTCTCAGCACCAGAACTAGAGCTTGAAAAATATTAAAAAAAAAGGTGAATTTAGCCACTCAGTAACTAAAGTAAAATCTACCCTATGCAGTTATATGTCAAATGTAAATAACCACATGTATATGAAAATAAGTTCTCAAAACATGCTTACACATATATCATAACTTATCGTTACTTATTTTAAACCATCTTTATCTCACATATATTAGGTACATTGTCACAAGATACTCGAACAAGTGACCGTGACCCAAT